TAACTGATGGGAATTTGCAACATACCTCCCCTGCCTGATCAGGTGAGATAGGCCAATGTAATAGGACTAAGACAGTTCCGAAGGTAGTTTTATATATATGTATATACATTACTGCCTAAATTTATAGCAATGGTTTCACTATATTTTTGAAAGATCTACCACTGATGTAAGGAGTGAAGGAATGTGCTGTGAACCATGGGAGAAGCTGACAATAAAAGTTAAAAGAAAAAAAAATCACACAGAAAGTTTTGTTGCATCTTATCTAATAAATCAGCTTAAATATGAATGATAAAATATATAATGTATAAACATGCCAGTGCTGCCAATCCTGTTTTTCAAGTAGTGTAGAACACATACAGGTAGTCCTCGACATACAACAATTTGTTTAGTGAATATTCAAAGTTACAATAGCACTGAAAAAAGTGACATGGCTATTTTTCATATGACCATTGCAGCATCCCCATGATCATGTGATCAAAAATCAATATTTATCTGCCATAATTTTGTATAACTTCTAAAAAAAATTCTTTCCTGATCCTCACAAGGATGAAATACGACAAACTGCAACATAAATATCAGTAAAGAGAAAGGGTAAAACCTATAGTATTTAACATCAGAAATAATACTGTGCAATAATTAGTAATTTGTTTCATGATTAAAATTATTCTTTGTTTTTTGCCCGTGTTACAAGTATTAGAATGCACTTATTCAACGTGGTTGCTTGAAAGGACATGATCACGATAAGTATGACCTCATATTTTTAGTTATGTAGGTGAGATCCAGACACGTTTTTGGATTTGAATGCCTAATGAAAGTCAAGAAGCATATATCACCCGCAATTAAATGGCATCATTAAATCAAATTGTGCTGAAACTTAAAAGCTAAATTCCTACTTTATTGTCTTCATTCATTCTGTTACATACATTGAAACACTTCAGGGAATGAAGATTTAAAAATAGTGATGTAAATGACTCCTATGAGATGTGGTTTTCAAAAGTAACCAGAATTTTAAAAAGAATAGCTTGAACTCTACTTCCCATTTGGATGGATGGCACTTGTAAGAATAATTTAGCCTTTTTGTTTTTTTTACCACATCGGGAATATGTGAGTCTTAAATATGAAATAATGTGTTCTAGATATTGCTGAAAAGATTTCCATTGGATAACCTTGAGACTGTTCGACTGTTGGACTTTCAAGAAGTCTGAAGAAAGAATAAATTCCACATTATTACGTGTACTGTTACTATAGCAGTGTGTGAATTCTTGATGAACAACAATATCAATTTATTTTTAGATATATAGTTCTTTGGAATAATAAGACAAATAAGACATTAGATGTAGGCATACTACATCATCACCATTAATGTCTAAAGATGAAGAAACAACAAAGTGTTTCCTTTCTATACAGTAGACCTAAATCCTAGTAGTCAAAATATAAAAAGAACAGAAGATAAAGAGCACAAGCAACGTTAGACATTGTCTTGAAATGTTAAATGACGTACTAGAATATCCACTAAAGAAAACATTTCTGGAGAAAGAAAAGGAATAAAAAGCAGTAGACAAAGAAAGCATATCAATTCCTCTGTTGGAATCAAAGAGAACGATTAATTACAAAAGTTATTTTTGGAACGGCAAATTCCTGGATTTTTACTATTGTTATTATTGTTCCTGCTTTAGAACAGAATAGAATAGAATAGAATAGAATTCTTTATTGGCCAAGTGTGATTGGACACACAAGGAATTTGTCTTTGGTGCGCATGCTCTCAGTGTACATAAAAAGACAAGATACATTCATCAAAAATCATAAGGTACAACACTTAATGATAGTCATAGGGTATAAATAAGCAATCAGGACAAAAAAAAAAATTGCCATGAAGGGCAGGGTCCAGTACCAGAGTACAGCAAACCTCTTGCCACACTACATAGGAACCTAGGAGGATACAAACATTTTTCCTTCCATAAAATGTAGTGCAGCATCACTTGAGCTGCCTCAAGCTAGGAAAACACAACTTGTTGGTGGGTGATACTGCCTTCCAAAGTGGGCAATGGTGAATACAGGACAATGCCAAGCACTCCTGTACTTAAGAAATGGTCAGTAGGGCCGTTGAATCAAGGTATTCCAGTGGGTAAGTTGTACTATAGATGTCTGGTCATTTCTGACTTACTTCTGAAGTGGAGTATATGCTGAAGCCGAAATCAATCAAACCACATTTGGGCTTATTGCAATATGCAAAAGAGGAAGGACAAAAGGTTGAATTTAGTCAAGTATTTTCTTGGTACAAAAGTTTTATAACTATTCCTTTTATAGTACTCTGAATGTACAGCTGGCACAAATCACAGCCGCCTACTTGCTGACGGGCCTTAATGGGTTTACAAAAATAACATCTGTTCTGCAGGAATTGCATTGGTATCAGGCCTACGAGGTAGACTAAGAACAGGAAACTAACACCGTAGGAAGACTTTATTGAGAAAAACTATAGTAACACAATCTTGCAAATCCGCTTGTGCTTTTCTTCCCCTCCCTCTTATTCCACAATGAATCAGAGTGGAATCAGTCTCTTCTTAACACTATCTCCTTTTCCAGAACTTAAGGAATGCTTCTGACCACAGTCGAGTGTTGTTCTATAGTCCACACAGTAGCCTGTAGTATTAACTCTAATCCTTTTTAGATATTTTAGAATATATATTTCCATTTATAATAATTAATTGTAATTCGTGTTTTATTTGCTGGTCTAGGAACAAATAAAGATTGATTTGATTTGAATGTTTCTGTCCTTTCTGTTTATCATAAAATACATGACAGCTTCTTAATATTTGCTTCCTAGCCCTGTCTCGGGCTTTCTACAATTGTCGCCAAGAAGTTTTGGGGGTCCAACAGAACATGATAGTGATCACCTATGACGTCCTTTATAGTTTAGGTTCTGGTTATCTTTGGGTCTTCTTCATGTAGAACCTACCTAAGCTATACAATGTAATTGGAAAAGGATACTCCAGGTATCCATCCTCAAAGCAATCAGGCGATTTTCTCAGAAGGATTTCTGGAAGAATTCAAGAGCACAACAGCAGTTTATCCTACCCAAGATGTTAGTTAAGCTCTATCATCCTACCATTCTCTGAAAGGATGCTTGTATGAGGTGGGCTGAAGCTTCTGCTATCAGTTTTTCAAACGGAGATTTGAATCTGAGAGCTCAAATCACTGGCTTCCATAGGCTGGATTCACACATTGCAGTGAGCCCTAATGAGGTTTGTTTAGTTCTGAATGTTGAACCACTGTAGTTCAACATTTGTATTTTTACTCAACATATTAAGTGAGGGAATTATAGTACAGTAGAATTAAAGAACTAAAACCAAATCCTTTAGAATTAAGAGATAAGTACAGTGCTCCAACACAAAAACAAATTTAAATAAGAGAAAATATGTGTGATTCATAAAAATGCATACATATATGCTCCTGAATCTGTATGCTCCTGAGTCTGTTGATTCCTGGCGACTACCTGGATGAGTTTTCTTGAAAAAATAATAACAATTATAAAACTTAAATGGATTGATATTTTTACTTTAAATATTTGTTTGTTACAAATACCAATATCACTGATATCATTTATAAACTGCTTGTATTCACATTTTCTCCTCCAGACTCACTGAATCTCCTTATTCTTATTCTCCCTGAAAGACTTAAAATTTATCATTTAAAAATATTTCATTTCTCATTTTAAAATATACATGAATTAATGTTCTTTCAAATTTGCAAAGCGGAACCAACCTTTTAAGATTACAATAGTGGGTTCCACAGCGGGAACACCAGTAAGCATCTAAGTTGATTGAGCTCGAGTTTAGCTTACTTTTAGCAATAGCTTTTTTGGGGGGGACACATTTTTATTTTGAGAACTTTACATTAAAAACCAGAATAAGCCTCATCGTTCTCAGCACACCCATTTTTTTTAAAGACAGTTACGGAAGTAGCCGACGAATAGCAGGAGCTTATCCAATTCCTGGAGGCGTGTTGTAGGAACGCGGACCAAACCCCTCTATTTTCGTCCCTGCAGTCTTCTTTTCTATTCCTTATTATAGAAGCGCTTCCGGCGGCGTGTAGCATTCTGACATCACCCCCCCGCCCGCACCCTAATGACGTCAGCCCCGGGAGCAGTGTGTGACGACAGTGCGTAGGGGAACGTGGTGACGTACCCTATTTAAAGGTCCCCAAGTAGAGGATGGAGGCAGAATCAGCAAGTGCTGCTACCGCGTGGGGGTCCGTGGCTGCGGAGTAGCAGAGAGAGAGCGAGGCTGCGCCGCGTACCCTCCCCGGGAGCGCTGGGCCTGAGTGGGGCAATAAGCGGAGGTCGTTCGCTCCATTCTCCCTCCTTTCCTTCTCCCGTTCTTCCCCATTTTTGGCGGCTGCGGGGGCCGGTGGGAGGGTCGGAGTGGAGCAAAGCGAGAGCGGGCGCCTTCCGCTCCGCCTTCAGCTCCTCCTGCCCTCTCAGGCCCCGAGCGTGGGGGGAGTAGGGCGCGCTCTCTCTTTAGTGCCCTGCGCAGGGAACCTGGAAAGGGAGCGAGGGGTCGCTTGGCCGAGCGCGGTGGCGTGTGCGCGGGCACGGGAAGGAGGTGTGAGGAGGAGCAGGAGAAAACCTGAGCCGCCTGGCGCGTCTCGGCCCTGGACTGGGAAGCTCCGCGTCGGAGGTGCCGGAGAGGCAACCGCTCCCCCCACCTCCTCCTCCTCCTCCTCCTCCTGCAGCCCGCGCTTTGGCCCCGCTGCTGCAGCGAGGGGCTAGAGGGGCGCTGCTGCTGCTGTCGGCGCCAACGCCGCCGCTGCTGCCACTCCTCCTGCCTGGCTGCTACTGAGCATGATTGATCTGCCGGACACGAGACGGAGGAAGAGGCTGCCCCGCTGCAGAAGCGGGCGGGATTGAAAGGAGACCTGCCCTGCCTTGCCGCGGGAAGGACCGCGGCTCTTCGGCCGCCTCCCGCGTTGCACCCACTGCCTTCCCGTTTCATCTCCTGCCCCGCATCCTCTCCCGTCCTAAAAGGGGATGCGTGGTCCGTGCCCTGCCTCAGCTACCGGTCTACCGGAGCCCGATGTCAGCGCCGGCAAGGGGGCTGCTGCCGGCTGCTGCTACTGCTTGGGAAAATGAAGCGACACCCCCCATGCTCTCGCTGCTGCCGCCGCCGCTGCTGCTATCGACGGGGGTGTTAGAAGGAAGGGCGGCGCGGAGCGCTGCGCACACCGCAAGCCCCACGAGCCTGCTCTCTACCTGAGGCGGACCGCGATCCGGGCGCTCGTGGTTCTCGGGCATTTCAATAAACTGCTTAGGCATCCGTGCTGCTGTGGTTTTTTTTTTTAATCCTCCTGCTAGAGGCGGTCGAGTGCCTCCCCTTCTCCCGCAGAAGGAAGATTGGCTTGGTGCTGCCGCTGCCTCTGCTACTACCTCCTTCTTATCCGCCTCCTCCTGCCAGGGAGCTGGAGCTCTCCCTGGACCCCTTCGTGCAGGGGGCTCGCTGAAGAAAACGGGCTCTGGGAGGCTATGGGGAGGCTCTCTTCATGTTGATGCCCTAGGTCGATTCTTCTCCTCCTCCCCCTCGAAAGGGTTGCGATTTCCCCCCTCCCCCCAAAAATCCCTTCAACATTCCCAAATGCCTGTAGACTTTTGTGTTTAAAATCCGGCCGAAGAAGGCACGTAAGATCATCTGGAAAGGCAGAAAATTGGCCGGAGAGACCTGTCAGGATTAATACTGTAACTGGCCGGGGTGCGCTGGCAGCGTAGGAAACGGGGAAAAATCCTTTTAAGAATTGATCTGCTAAGCAACGCTCACGGCACGTCTTCATTGGTCATCATGGGGTAAGGATTTCATACTAAATTGTGGAGTTGTAACAAGGAAAATCGAGTATTCGGTTTCTAGGGCTTTTTATCTTTAAGGGGCAGAGCAAAGCATTGTCTGGGAGAGTGCTAGAATTAAAAGCTCAACTTCTGAATGGCAGCTAGATAGCTTGCTTGGTCAGCAGCCCTGAGGCTCGTCTATTCAACAATCTATTCAGATCTGAAGTAGGGAACTCGACATTTTACTGGGTCTTTTAGCCAGGAACCAAAAAACATGTTCCTCAGATTTTTGTCATGAAGGTATGACACACTGTTGATTGGAGAGAGTACTTGTTCTAGGTATAGGAGTTCAAAGAGGTGTCCCTACATACATTGTCTGATGCGGAAAAAGCATCTTTGGTACAACTATGACCTGGATGATTGAGAATGTTCATAGACTCCTAGAGGAGTACTTATCAGAGATGTTGAAGTGTAGAGAACCAGCAGATTGAACTTCCCTGCTTACAAGTTCTTTCTTGACAAATATAACTTACACTTTGTTCCTTGGATTTAGGCTGAGTGCTAGGGAGAAATAGGTAGTATTTTGAAGACATGAACCTTCAGTAAGATTAATGATTCGTCCTCCTTTGTACTTAAGAACTTGCATGCTACAACTCCTAAAGCTGATTGTAGCTAATGACAACTATCGTATGTATCATTTGTTGGCTACTGAACAATTTACACATTGTTTATAATGTTTCAGCAATTGTATTGGTTTGCAGGTTGCCCAGGATGAGGTAGGCCTCATTAGAGAACTGGACACAAAGGAGATAAATGTGTTTCATCTGCTTCTTCTGGGATTCAAATTCTAATGTGTTATTGGATACCTTCTTCTACCAACCAGAAAAGGAATCCAAGGACTGTAGAAGAAGAAAAAATGCAAGAGGTCAACCCTAATTTTTCAACCACGGATAGAGGGAAATGGAGGTGATATACAGGATAGTCAAGGATCTAACAAAAACTGCTCAGAGAGTGGATGGTAATTTGGTGTAATGATTAAGGCAAGAGGCTAGAAGTCAGGAGACACTGAATTCTAGTTCCGCTTTATGCATGAAAGGCAGCTGGTGACTAGAGACAGTCCATCTCTCTCAACTCAGCCATAGGATTGTTGTGGGGTAAAATAAGAGGAGGAAGGAGTATTATGTATGCTTGCCGCCTTGAGTTACTTATAAAATAATAAAGGTGGGATTAAAATCTAATAAACTACTAAGGAGCTAGAACATAGAAATAAATTTCAGAATTATTATGGGCAGCAGGACTAGCATTTAAAACATCTAATTTTATAGATCTTGGAATTTTCAGCGATAATTCCATTTTTGATGTAATACTCCTGTTCTTCTATCCTACCTGTTTGGTACTTGTTTCAATTCCAAGCGTATGAGCTTATGATTATTGTGACAATGAACATTATTACTAATGATTGCAAGATGTTTCATGGCTCAGTTAAATTATACTTTATGCAAATGTAGAACTCTCATTTTTTCATCAAATACTGAAGTTGAATGAAAATAGTTTTTGGGCAGTTGCTGCTTATTAACAAGAGATTTATCTCTTCATAATTTTAAATGTGCATTTTTTTTAGCTTGAAAATTCAAGAAATTCTATACTTCAAACATGAAACTGCTATAACCGTATTTCAGGGCCATGATAGTTCACTTAGAACTTAACAACCTTGATTTCAAACACACCAATGTGGTTAGAATAATGCTATTTCACAACATTTGGGATTCAAATGATTCAAAATTACACATTTTGCATACTTCAAATATAAAACAGTTTTTGATATATACAGTGCTGTCCAATATTTCCTACACAGTAAAAGCTCTACAGGTGATCATCTTAGTGCTGGGAGTCTAACTTCAAACATAACCTTTCGCTGGCATTCCATAAAATCTATAACAATGAAGACATTGTTGGGCTGTGCTTAAATCTTGGCTATATCTCTTCCCTAGTTATTTCTCAGCTGAATATCAAAGCTGAAAGAAAAATATTGAGGAGGGACAGAAAAATGAGGGCTTGGCAGGTTCCTTGAACCATCCTTTTTCTCTTAAATCCTTCCCCCCTTTATTGTACACACTACTCTGCTTATACATGAGGAAGGAGCCTCCTCACACTTCTCCTGTCTATTACTTATTTTCATAAGTTGAGGCCCAGGCTTTTAAAACATTAGATGTATCCCCAAGGACCTCTTCAAAATTGTGACAGAATTGAAATTTTAACTAAAGTTTAAAATATATGGGAGTGTATTTAGTGAACTTTAAATCAGACTTCATGCAGTGTTTGCTGTGATATCAGCCCCTTCTTTGTTTCAGCCCAATTGATCTGAGTGTTTCTCAACTTTAACTATTTTAAGATGTATGGACTTCTAGAATACCCAGTAAGCATTCTGGGTGTTTATGTCCATACAAGAGGTGGGTTGCAAATCCTGGTGCTACTGGTTTGCTCATGCTCGTGCACACGCTCAGTTCTGTGTGCAACACTTCTGTGCATGCGCAGATGCGTCTAGGCCGGTGGGCGAAACCTCCCGCCACTGCCACTACCTGTTTGCCTGATCCAGGCTGATTCAGGAGTAACCCACCTCTGGTCCATACATCTTAAAATGAATAAGAATAAGAAACACTGTTTTATAGAGTGGTTCCTGATATGTCACTCAAAGCTAATTGTAACCTTCCTCTTCAGAAAATTTGCCCACATTGTTAGAAATATACATTTAGAATTATAGGGCTGGAAGGGACTTTGGAGTTCTAGGGAACAGTCCTTATATCATCCTGGTAAAATGTCCAATATTTTCTTGAAAAGCTGTAGTGATCCGAATACCCAAAACTTCAGGAGGCAAGCTATTCCTGTGGGTAATTGTTCTCACTGTCAGGAAATTTCTCCTTAGTTCCAGGTAGGATCTCTCTTTAAAGAGCTTCCATGCATTGCTTTTTGCCCTGCTCTCAGGTGCTTTGGAGAATAAGTCAACTCTATCATCTCTGTGACTCCCCTCAAGTACTGGAAGATGGATATCATATAATCTCTAATCCTTCTCTTCATTAGGCTGCATACTTATTTCCCTTAACTTTCATCTTATAGTTTAGCTCCAGATCTCTTATCATCTTTGTTCTTCTCTACACTCTTCTAGAACCTCAGCACCATTTTTGTATCGTGATGATAATAACTGGGTGCAGTATTCCAAATGTAGCCTCACTAATGCAATATAGAAGGTTACTATCACTTCCTGTGATTTATTATGATGCCTCTGTTGATGTAGGCTAGGGCTGCATTGGGGGTTTTTTTGGCAACTGCAGCACACTCATACTTAAGTGATGGTCCACCAAGACAACTAGATCCTTCTTGCAGTTATTAATGTTGAGATAGGTACTGTTTATTCTATACTTGTGCATTTAGTTTTTCCTGTCTAAGTGCAGGAGCTTACTTTTCTCACCACTGAACTACATCTCATTTCTCTAGGCTGTCAAGATCCTTCTGACACTTGAGTCTTTTTCCCAAAGTGTTAGCAATTCCCCACAGCTTGGTGTGGCCTACAAACTTGATGAGCTCCCTTTCTGTCCACTCATCTAGATCATTTATGAAGATGTTGAAGAGCGCTGGACCCAAGATAGAACCTTGAGGTTCCCCAGTGCATGCTTCTCTGCATGTATATGTAGTTCTATAGAGGACTACATGTTGAGTGTGCTTGGTCGGCCAATTGCGAAGCCATTTGGTGGTGGTACTGTCTATCCTACTTTGTTCCAATAGAATGTGATCTATTTTGTCAAATGCCTTACTGAAACCCACATATTACCATATCCAGAGTATTTCCTTGAACCATTAATTTAGTCACTTTATCAAAGAAGACAGTAAGATTTGTTTTCAATTAATCGTCGTGTTCATTTCTAGGTGTTCACAAATCCCCTGCTTGATAATCTTTTCTAGGATTTTTCAAATATTAATATCAAGCTGATTGCCTTGTAGTTTCCTGGTTTCACTTTTCCCCCCTTTTTTGAAAATTGGAACCATATCAACTCTTTTCCAGTTGCCTGGCACTTCCCCTGTGCTCCAGGAGTTCTGAAACGTTTTGTTCAGTGGTTTTGAGATCACATCTGCCAGCTCTTTCAGTACCCTGGGAAGTAAACCATCTGGTCCTGGCAATTTGAACTCATCTAAAATGGAAAGGAGTTTTCTTACTATCTTTTTGCTTATTTTGGCCTGCTTTCCTGTTTCCCACAGTGCTGTTTTTGATAGGTTGGACTATTTTTTCTTTTTGTGTGAAAATAGATGCAAAGAAGAAATTAAGCAGTTCTGCTTTTTCCTGCTGCCCATCACTACCTTGCCATCTTCTTCCATTAGGAGATTATAAATGTCCTTGATTTTATCCTTATTCCTTATATATTGAAACTTTTTCCCTAAGTTTTGGCATTTGTTGCATGTCTTAGTTCATCCTAAGCCTTAACTTTTCTCATTCCATCCTTGGCAGCTTCGAGCTATTTGCTGATATTCTGTTCTAGTTATGAACCCCTCTTTCCATCTTTTATACTTGTCTTTTTTATCCCTCAATTTGTCATAGAGCTCTTTATGCAACCATACTGGCTTTGTTTAGGCCAGGATCCCTTTTCTTTCTTTCACTGTGGTATTGTGTTTGATTTTTAATAATTTTGTTTTTCAGAGTTTCTCAAGCATCTTGAGTGATTTGGGGAACTTTCCTAATGTGATTCAGGAAATGTTGAAAAAATCCTGAATATCATTTTTTAAAATACTCCCATTCACATTACATTAAGAACAGATTCAGTGCCATTTTAAAAACATAATATTGTATTGCAAATTTTAATGAGCCATCTTCTGTTCAACCAGATGACCAGTCTCAGATTTTTATCATAACCCTTTATAAAATGCTCACATTTTAAATTATTTGATTAGCATACTACAAAATAATTTGTTGGCAAGCAATTTTACTGCTTTTACTGAAAAAGAAAATGGACAAGTTTAATCATCATGCTTTC